CTGTAGTGAATGTTGGTTGTAAAGTTATTCGTGCTCCTGGGGGTAGAGATGTTGTCCTGGATATATCTGCATTGGTTGCATCACACAACCCAGAGTCTAGACTGGTACCCTGGGCACATTTCATTCTATGAGTGAATGAAAAGGAGACGGAGGTACTTCCGGCTTGTTCAAGAAATCAAGGGGGGAGGTTTGGGTCGATGTTCACGTCCTTTGACATCCGATCATGTCTATATGCCCCAGCCTCCCGTCAATTTTGTGCAGCTTCCATATCCACTCACACCATCGGCCGCTTAGCACGAGGTGAGAGAGAATCCCTAGGTAAGAAGACCAGGGCTGAATCCCACTGCCCCTCACTTTATGCAGATGTTTCTGAAAAGATGTGGACTAAGTACGTGTCTATAAATTTGATTGAAAGGAGCAGAAATTTGTAAAGGGCGGATGTATTTGGCCACTCAGTCTCACCCACATAGAGGGGCTTGATTTGTCCCCAACGGCATTGCTGAGTAGCAAGGACCTACTTTGGGGGGAAATTATATGATTTGGGCCATTTAAGAAAGGAAATATGGGGCAGTTCTGGGGCTCAGCAGGTGTTTGGAGAGGCAGGCGTCCTGTCCTCAGCAGAGCGCAGGCAGGGGTCCATGAGGCTCCTGAGCTGGTGAGGACAGAACGAGCAGCTCCTGACCACCTGCAATCCCATGGGCGTGGCTTCCACGGGGCGGTGTGTGCCGGCTGCCATTTGTCCTCTGGATTCCCACTTCACTTCGCACCCACCTTCCAGAGCATCCCTACTGCCACGCTCCCGGCCACACCCCCAGGTGACAGCCTCTTCCTTTCCCCTCTTTCCAAGGCATAAACTCTTTCTCCTGCCCCACTGTGTCCTTCCTTTTGGAATCTCAAGAGCATCCTTCTGGGGCGGGAGACCCTTGTTTCTCTTCGCCTTTTTGACACGACAATTAGAGTTCTTCCTGAGTGTGAGTCTAAGGAAATGAGAGGAAATGTCCATCAAGATCATGTTTGAAGTTATCATACACAGGAGTCACAGGTGACCCTCCTTTCTTTTTCTTTTTTTCTTCCTTTGCGGTACGCAGGCCTCTCACCGCTGTGGCCTCTCCCGTTGCGGAGCACAGGCTCCGGACGCGCAGGCTCAGCGGCCATGGCTCATGGGCCCACCCGCTCCGCGGCATGTGGGATCTTCCCGGACCGGGGCACGAACCCGTGTCCCCTGCGTTGGCAGGCGGACTCTCAACCACTGCACCACCCTCCTTTCTAAGGCTGATACCCACACCCTGATTTCCTCTTTGGCTTTTGTGGACATTTGTATTTTCATTCCCAGATGGGCGCAGTGCAGGCAAGGCCATGTTCATAGAGCCTCTGAGTTTAGTCTCTTCTCTCTGACTCTCTGATCAGCCTGGATGTTGACTTCCACGTGGCAGCCCGAGTGACTTCACTCGGTTGTCTGCACATCCCAAGTATTTCAGCTAATTGTCAACTTTCTGCTATCCGTTATCTCAGGACTGTGAGTGCCTCACTGATGGGGCTTAAACAGGCACAAAGCATTCAGTGAACTGAAACCAAATTAAAGGTTCAGGGCAACGGCACAGATGCCCATGTCATGGTTCAAGGAGTTGACTTTTATAGAAGTAAGTACATTTGTATTAGTTGTTATGGCGAATTGTTCTGACACTCACCCAGACAGTAAAATAATGGAAGTTTCTTTTCCCAAGTGCTCCTGAACTCAAACATTCCAGACGACCTGGCCTCAGCTGGCCCAGAGCAGAAGTCATAAGATTGAAAAAATAAGTAAATAAATTTTTAAAGAGATGGAGGAACCACTGCTTTCCGAAAACATCCGATTCGGGCCAGTGATTGAAGATGAGCTCAGGATATGTGGAACATTTGCTTCCTTCTTAATTAAAATTGTTTAAGTTGCTTCTATTGACCCTCTAAGCGAGAAGAGAGTGTGTGTGTGGAAAGTTCATGCTTGAGGGACTTTCCTCCATCGCCTCCCCAGAGATATATATGTATATATACATATATACACATATATACATATATTCTAGAAAACCAGTGCTAGTCTGCTGTCCAACTCTGGGCTGAGCTGCAGTTTAGAAGGTAAGCAATTGCAGACTGCTCTGTCAAGCTTTGCTCTTTGTTAATAATCTATTTACAGTTCAGCATACCGGCACCTCCTTTGAGTCTGATTATACTCCTAACCCTCCAAGTTCAATGTCAGCAGATCCCGGTCTGACAGTAAGTGAGATTGCTTTCTGGGTTTGCTAGTGTACCGTGTTTGAAAGACAGACTCCGCCCAAAGCAGCTGCCATGGTGGAGCCCGCACTGTCCCTTGCAGGATGGTTTTATTAAAGGCCATCTCCCTGGGAGAACTGGTCTACCTGGGTGGCAGTGTGGCCCTGTTCCAGGCAAACGGCCAAGATCTGCGTGATCTCCATGTACTTCACCCCTGTAACCGTGACCTCCTGGATATTAGGCACTGTCTAGTCTTCAATGATAATAGCTCTTGGTGATTAATTTTGCGTTTTTGGTCGCTTTCAGGGAAACGGGTTTTGACATGTAGTCAGTATCTTTCAAACTGAGAGCAAATGGAATTGAGGAGACTGTTTTCCAATTTATCCCAACAATTTAAAGTCCCATGTTAGAAAAATGCAATTCTTCCTGGAATACAAACACATACCAAGGGTTCAATTACTTATTATAGCAACCTCATTCCAAAAAATGTTTAAAGTGGCTTCCAAAACAACGAATAAAAAAACGAAATTGACAGCTAAGGATTTGGGGCAGAAACCGAGCATTACCTAAATCACCTCATTTTCCCATTGCTCGGGCTGCTCATTTCACCCCAAGAGGCATAAGAAATGAGGAAGGGTGACCATCGGGGAAAATGACATGGAATCTGGGAATACCCTGTTTAAGTCATAGGCTCACAGGAAAACATTATTTAGACCATTTTTTACACCATTTAACTGTTATATACAAATCTAGAATTAAAAGCATTTTAATAAGGTGGGTAAAAATATTTACACATATTCCAAATGATCACGCATTAGATGCTGCATCGTACAGGAAGCTTGCACCGTCCACCTCCTTCTGCCTGCAAGGTTTGTTCCTTAATAGCTGAACTTTTCCTCTGAATTGGCTCCCAGCTGGGAGGAACAGTCAGTGTTTTCAAACAAAAGGCACTTCCAGGAACTCTTAAGTCAAAGAACTGGTCCAGAATTCTTTCAGTTGTGGGGAGTGGGCAGGAGGGAACTTTTCTGTCTCCTCTGAATCCAGTACTTGGTGGTCCCCTGCTTCTTTAGTGAAACAACAAAATGGCCGGAAAACACTTTTAAAAATGTTTCTATGACAACGTGGTATGAATGAGCACACTTCCTAAGGAAATGAAACTCCTAAAAGCTTGTGACTTTACTGGTGATCTCAAGAGAAGGCTTTTTCTGTTTGGTTGGTTTTTTGTTTTTTTCTTTTCAGTTCACTGATTATAGATCCAGGTTCAAAACTTATGACTCTTTACCCAATTAAGCAGTTATTTTTTTTTATGTGTCATTTTATTCACCCCTCTAATTTAATTTTTTAAAATATTCATCAACACAATCTCCCTTTCCTTGTAAAAATCCCTCCTTGTCACATGTCCATCTATTTTCACCATTCACTCCTTCACTGATTCAACAGATTTTTTATTGTCGGGTCATAAATCTGGTGAGAACAGCACCAAAATGAGCAGGAATTTGTCTGAACTTTTGGTGCTTCTTCAGAAAAGGTAAACAATCCCTCTGGATCTTGAGAAGTAACCAGGTGGTCTGGGTTTTCCTTTATGTTTTTTATTTTTATTTATTTATTTATTTAAAAATTTTCTTGAACTGTAGTTGATTTACAATGTTGTGTTAATGTCTGCTGTACAGCAAAGTGACTCAGTTATACATATATATGTATATTCTTTTTCATCTTCTTTTCCGTTATGGTTTATCACAGGATATTGACTATAGTTCCCTGTGCTCTACAGTAGGACCTTGTTGTTTATCCATCTTATATGTACTAGTCTGCATCTGCTAATCACAAACTCCCAGTCCAGCCCTCCCCCAGCCCCACCCCCTTGGCAACCACAAGTCTGTTCTCTATGTCTGTGAGTCTTCCTTTATGTTTTTTTAAATTTAGATTTGTTAGCCCAAGAGATCAGGAATTCCTGGCTCTTGAGGACTGGGAGAGAGGGAAGATGATATTCTAGAAGCTGGTCGGGTATCTCTGATGAGTTCATCTATCAATTTTTAATGCCACCAGGGTTTCATTTCAAAGTGGAAGAAATTTGTGGCAGACGAAGCAGTATACTGCTGCCGCACCCCTGACTGTAACCCGTGTGAGCTCTTTAGAGCCCTGTCTCGTTTTCAGTAGATGGCCGTGCTGTCCATTCCTTTTCTAGAATGCACCCTGGAGATAAGGCTTGGGGTATTTGCTGCACAGCCAGACGTCAGACCATTCATTTCTGCACCAATTTTTCTCCCCCATTTTAAGGGACCTTTCTCTGTGGTAATGAGCTCACTTACAGATTGATATCTCTAGGGGCCCCCATGTGGGACCTGTGTAGTAAATTTAGAGCAGCACATTCAATTTGTCATAGCAAATACCTCCTGTTCTCTTTATAAAGTTCACATACACGTGTCTTGTCCTGCATTTAGTCAGCTTGTTGACTAGGGGAAACACTCATCAAGGAGAGAAGCTATGGGTATGTCACTTTATGAACAGGAATCTCCCAAACTTCCAATTTCATTCTTCAGATGAAAAGAATGAACACCACATGGTAAACTTTTGCCATAAGAGTTTTGCTGAAATGCACTGCTAATTTTCAGCAGTCTAGAGCATTGTGTCCGAAAGAAAGGAAGAGATAGGAAAACACAGTCAGCTCTCACAATAGATTGAGAGGAACTGTGCGAACGACGAGGATGAAGATGAAAATAACCGTGTCCTTCTTTCCCCCCTTTTCACCCTAGTGTGCCGTTTGTTTGCATCTTCAGCGCCGGGCGGGGGTCTTTCCCAGGTGCCTCCCCAGAGCCAGCCGTCCATGTTCTGCACAGCCAGGCATCCTCTCAGGGGGACAGCTCTGGAGCAGCCACATCTTTTCTTTAAGGAGCACAAAGACCTCGAGATTGCTTTCTTCCTGTTTTGCATCACTTCCCTGACTAATACAGACACACTGTATTTGCATAACACAGTTTTGGTCCGCATGGGACCCCATCTCCAGCTTCCTGAATATGCATTTTATTCTGTGCGATGTCTGAATGTTGCACCTCTAATCTCACCACCAGCCTGTGTGCTTCCACTGAGTTATTCTCCAGGCTTTAGAGCCGCACCTCCAATTTGTAAGCTGAGCTAACGATTACATTTTCATCTCTGGAAGATGTTAAATGAAAGCATGCCTTGTGGGGAGAATAAATCAAAGATCTCAGCATGAGTGGCCCCCTACCCCCAGCCCAACTTCTCTGCTTGCTCAGTGGAGGCTGGAGAATAAACTCCCCTTTCTCTCGAACATTCATCTTCACCCAGAGAACCTTGCAGGAACTATGCTCTTAATACAGCATTGTTTAGCCCCCTTCGCTGAGATGCTTTCACTTGATCAGCCCAGAGAATAACCATTTCGCAGCCTTGGAGACAGAGTTCAGTGATTGAAGTGCCAGCCGACGGAAACGGCGTGGGACCCCAGATAGCTGGGATCGATGAAGAAACTGTCCATCCCTAAAAGAATAGGACAACAGACAGGTTGCAGTTGCAAAAACTGCGATCAGAATTTCGCTGAGGTAGGTCAAAGGCAGAGTCAAAATCACTCTCCCAAGTCATTTCCATTTCTTTGCGTTCTCACTTAGGGTTAGCTGCTTTGGGGCCAAATGCTTTGCCCAAATGATTTCGTTTAACCCTTAGCACAATCCTTGGAGGTTGATTTTTTTTTTTTTTTAATCCTCATTATACAGTTGAAGAGCCGGAGGCAAATGACTTTCTCTAGGCTCCACGGTAAGGGACGGATCAGAGTTGAGTCACTGGGTCTGTGGGTTTGCAGTAGTGTGTAGGTCCAACTGTCACCCAATCCTGGGTCTATCCCTTCAGTGTCTTCAGGCCGGTTTTCTAAGACCTTCCAGGGCAAGACCACACTCACATCAAACCTCCTTCTGCCAGCTATGTGCTTTGCCAGCTGACACTTCCTCTTATGGCTTTTTTTTTTTGTCTCGGGACCTGCTTTCTGACAAGATGGGAGTTTTCTACACCAGGCTCATCACCAGGATCATCTGGGGTGCTTATTAAAAATAGAAGTGCCCCCACAAAAAATAGAGGTGCCCCAGCATCTCTTGGAGACTCCGATTCATGGAGCTGGGGGTGGGCAGGGGCCCACAAGTTTCTTTGTGTAATTCTGATAAATAATCAAGTTGGGGAAGAGATGTCATTTCCCCAAAGTTTTTGACCCATGCACCCCTTTCATGTAATATATAATCTGAAAACTCCTTCAGAATTAAAACAAAATTTTTACATGATGTCCGCCAAAAGTCATGTTAATTTTAGTATCTTATTTCAGATCAATATGATATCAAAGGATGTCAGAAAGTATTTCTAATGTAATATTAATGATGATCATAATTTGTAAGATGCATTTTTACTTTTTCTCTCTTCACGAGTGACTTGTGATATGTAACATACTTTAATTTTATACAAAAACAAACACACAGTTTTTTGACAAACCAATTTTTAAATGATTTTTATATTGTGTTTGGTTTGGGCAAACAACAAATATTACAATGCAGCTTGAAATTTAACCATGTTAAGGGCATCAAAAGTGGACCATGGGGCTTCCCTGGTGGTGCAGTGGTTGAGAGTCCGTCTGCCGATGCAGGGGACACGGGTTCATGCCCCGGGCCGGGAAGATCCCACATGTGGTGGAGCGGCTGGGCCCGTGAGCCATGGCCGCTGAGCCTGCGCGTCCGGAGCCTGTGCTCCGCAATGGGAGAGGCCACGACAGTGAGAGGCCCGCGTACCGCAAAAAAAAAAAAAGTGGACCATGGACTTAATTTTTAAAGAATTTTCATATTTTGTTTCAAAATGATAAGATAAGGGAGAGGGTGTTTCTTTTGTTAGATTTTAATTTCGATAAATGGAAAAGCAATTGGATACAATGATTACTGTTTTTTCTCTTTTAGACAATGGTCTGGAGATCCTGAACTGACATCCTGTAAGAATTTCAATGTATTGAACGTAACTGGTAAAATTTTGGAAGCTTATGTGAGGAATGATTGTTATTTTCTTCATAAACTTGGATTTAAATGTCTGTATTCCAAATGCTTTGTTGATTTAACCAATGGCCCATTGCGGGCATGAATTACACAGTGTAAAACTGAGAAGAAAAATCACGTAAATGCTGTCAGGAGAGGCAGCGCGGCCTGCTGTTCTCAGCGAACTGGGTGACAAAGTCCCATCCCTCCTCCACGGCCGCCACGGGGCCTCCCTCCTGAGTTCTCAGAGCTGCAAGCTGTCCAGTAGTAAAGGGGAAATCTCTGAAGAGCTATTTTGTTCATTTATGATTTTAAAACGAAAGTAGCAGCAGGTGCTGTCAGCACCTTCATGACTTGACCCTCTGGAACAGGTTCAGAGACGCTCCTGGGGACCCGGGAAGGGGTCGGGAGGCTCTGCGGCTCCTGGTACCTCAGCGAGGTTCTCAGTCCCAACCGCCCATCAGAGTCATCGGGGCAACTTTTAAAAGATGGGTGCCCAGGCCCAGCGCAGCCCATTAACCAGACTCTTTGGTGGAAGCTTCCAGTGTCAGGACCAATCTCCGCAGGTGATTCCAACGTGTGGCTGTGAGCCAGCAGCCCAAGGGGATGAATCGGACACTGTGACAGGCTTAGCGGTGGAAGGAGTTTGGGGGCAATTAGGCCTAAGGCCTGAAACCCCATCAGGATCCTGGCCTTCTCCCCGATGCTCCGTGTCTTCAAGGAGTCCACAGCGGCTTGAGGAAAGCACACACACCCAAAAAAGCATTCTGCCTGAAGGATTTTGAAACTTGCCTGCAAGTCACTGTCAAAGATGACACCTTGGCACATGCAGGTTTTGGAGGCCATGCCCACATCACTGAGCACGCTGTCACCACCACCCCCGCCAGTACAGGGTGCTCCCCAGGTCCCGCTGAGGACAGTATCTTGTAGGAGATGCCAGCTCCACCCACACACGTTCCTGAGCGCTGGCTCTGTGCCCGGCCTCACAATGACCCCTGACAACATGCAGGTGAAGCTGTGGCCCGCCCCAAGAACCTCCATCCAGTCGGGGACAGATGAGCAGATCAGGGGTTACAGCCACTGTGCTGAGAGCCGAGACGGGGGTGCCGACAGCATCCTCACCCCTGCCACCGTCCCAAAGGTGACAAGGGTGGGGAGCCAGCATTTGAGCAATTTCACCTTCTTTGTACATTCAGATATATTACATAGAAACCTATAGAATACATTAAAATATCTAGTTCGCACATGTCTGTGTATATGTACCTCTGTGGGTGTGTATATATACAGCTTTTGTTGTTGTTTACAGAACAGACGAGCAACCGCAAAGTATTCCATGGAAAACTTCCTTCCACTGCAAGTAATGGGCTCATTTCAAATAGTGCCTCAACGTGTCATCTTTGGATCGGGGGCTTGTGGGAGAAGAGGCTGGGTAAGTGGGTTGGAGCTGCCGTGGGAGCTTTGCATGCCAGGCTGGGCATTGTTTAGAGGTGTTATTCTGAATGTTATGAAGAGCTGTGTGTGCGCGCATGTGTGTACACGTGCGTTGGGGGAGGGTGGTTGTGTATGTGTGTGTTGGGTGTATGTCGTGTGGGTGAGTGGCGTGTGGTGTGTGTGTGTGCATGCCCAGGCACGTGTGTTGGAGAGCATGTGTGACATGAGCAGACCTATCCTGGGGGACCCCTGGTAGCAGCTGTGCTCTACACTATTGGGGGACAGTCTCTGGTGGGGCAGGGTGGGCAGGTAGGAGTCCATTGAGTCAGAAAATTCCCTTGGAAACAGAAGGAAAGGGGCAGGAGAGGGACCGTGGAAAAGGGACTGATGTCAGGTTTGGTACCAACCAGATGCGGGGCCTGGGGGAGGGTAGCAGGGCTGTGAGCTGTGCTCCTGCCTGATGGTACCTCTGATGGGGGAGGGGCACCCGAGGGGATGGGAGAGCCCCTGAGCTCAGCTGGGGCTTGGTTGAGTCTGAGATGCCGAACTCAAGGGAAATTGGAGCTCCAGACACTAGTTAAGACATCGTCTAAGAGAGAGGACAGGACGGGGAGGAAAATGCGAGGGACAGGAGGGGCCTGAGGGGTGGCTGCCCAGGGCAATGGGCCCGGCCCCGTCGGGCCAGCTCACTGTCCTTTGGATGTGATGGAGGGAGCGGTCAGGACCCTGAACCGGTGGAGAAAGTCAGGGAAGATGCAGAGCTGCTGAACTGCCCTGAAGACCCCCAGCACAGCAGGGGGTGCGGGTCATTGCCTGCGGGGCCTGCTGGGGTTTCTCCGGCTCTGTGCCTCCGGGGGACCCACATCCGGGCCCTCGAGGTGCGCCCGCCCCCCCAGCAGCAGCTTCCCTCAAGGGCCTGGGGGTGATGGTCCTGATGCCCTGAGGGCCGCCCCTCTTCTCCGGAGGGGTGCGCTCTGCTGATTTATTCAACACAGAATTCGGGAGACAGTCTCTTTTGTCAGCTCTTTTCTCCTCCAAGTAAATAGATCAGTAAGTGCCGATAGCCAGCAGGGAAGGAAGAAAGCTTCCCCAGCTTCCCAGCCTCCTGTAGGACCCCCGCCCCCAACCACGGGAAGCTGGTCGGGAAAGCGGCTTTGGGGCTTTGCTTCGTTTTCCCGTCACCAACATGGAATTTTCATGCAGCAGCTTGAAGTTCCTTCTAAGAGAACAGAATGAGGTGGAGTCAGCAAGACGTGTGAGTACACGCAGCTCCACGCTGCCAGACGTGGGGGTGGGAGCGGTAGGGGGAGCCGCCAAAGCCTCAGGAAGCTCGTCCTGCCCAGGCCGCCCGCTTGGCATGAAAATAGAGCCTTTCTTTACCAGAAAGGCTGTCTGAGTCGGAGTTAACCCAGTTCAGCCGACTTTCATCCCTTACTCAGAACTGAAATCAGTGTCTATGCTTGAAACCACATTCACGTTAACTCATTATTTCTATACGCCATCCAGGCATGAGCCTCTCGTGGCCTCACAGTGAGTGTGTGTATGTAAGTGCGTATGTGAGTGTGTGTGTGTGTATAGGTGTGTCTGTGAGTGTGTGTGAGACACTTTATCTCTCACACTGCCCACAGCTCTGGACGCCAGCAGCCCCGTCCTGCTGGACGAGCTGAGCTTTGGGTACCAGTACGAGGCCCAGGACTGCGTCCCCCGGTGCGTGTGGAGTGGATCCTCGGTACGAGACGTTCCTCTCACCCCACTAGCCATGGTTTCCAGCCCCTAATGGCCTCTGCCCTGGAAAACGTGCTGTGCAAGGCAGTAGTGCGGTATCTGACAAACTGCACTAATTTGTGTCTGAATCAATCCTGTAAACCATCTTTACGGTTCTTGCCTCCCATCCTGCATGTCCAAACCAGCCTGAGGTTACCCCGGGAGTGTGCATTTGACGGTAAAGAGCGATGGCTCTCCTCCTTAAAATGCCAAGTATGCATCCTTTTGTGCTCACCGCTTTGGCATGACCTGAAGTGCGCTGCGGCGACGGAGCTGCCGCTCTGCAGGGCCCGCTCAGGTGGGACAAGCCTGCCCTTGGCCGAGCGGTGAGCTCCCTCCAGCGCTTGGCTGTTCCGGTTCCAGCCGGCCCTTGTCACGAACCGTCCGTCCTAGGTGCGTGTTCGCCAGGAAGCTTTCCAAAGCCCTGTGTGATTCACCCCACTGGCACAGAGCCAAGAGCACTTTCGTGCCAGGAGTCTGCCGCCCCCTGTTTGCTTATTGCCAGGGTGGTCTCACCTCTGCACGGCGCGTGGGCATCTGAAACTCATCTGCCGGGGCCCAGGGCTCCGCTGGGTCGTGGTGGAAGGGCCCTGAGAGGCTCAGGCCAGCGTACTCTGCACCTGTGGATCTCCTAGCTGGCATTATTTTCTCTGCTGTCTGTTCTTACCTGAAACCATCAACACAAATGGAACTCTTACTGCAAAATATATCACAACATGCAAGGCAGGGGCACCCAAGAGTCAGCTTGGGCGTTGGCTGAGGAGGGTTCCAGAGGCTCTCAGCTGTGCCGGGTGACCCTTTAGATGCAGCTCATGGAGAGATCTGGGGGTGCTAGGGGAGGGGCCAGGGAGGCCAGGGCACCAAGGGGGCCCACGGCTAATTACCCAGCAGTCTGGAAGCTTTGCAATGCATAACAGTCTCTGTGGCCTTCCTGGAACGCGGTGGGGAGCTTCAGCACTGATGTTAACCAAGCTTCTGTCCCCTTCACTCCCTGACCCTTTCCCGTCTAAGATGTCTTCCAAGCAACTGAATTGATCCAGGAGCTCTGCACAGAGATAGAAGGTGCAAATATGAATGAACACGCCTTCACCTGCACGCACAGGCAAGTGGAGGGGCAGCCCTCACTCACACAGCACGACCTGACGGGGGGCCAAGGTCGTTGGGTCGTGTTTTATAGCTGTTGAGAATGACGTTGCTGTGAACGCTGGTGCACAAGTACCTACTGAAGACCCCGCTTCCACTTCTTTGGGACATATGCCTGGAAGTGGAATTGCTGGATCATACGGGAATTCTTTGCTTATTTTTTAAGGAACCTCCATATACCGTTATCCTCCATATAACCTCCATATACCATTATCCATATACCGTTATCCCAAGCGGCTGCACCCTTTTGTGTCCCAGCCAGCAGTGCACAAGGGTCACAGTTTCTCCAAATCCTCACCAACACAAGTTATTTTCTGGTTTGTGATTGGGGATATCCTAACAGGTATGAGGTGGTATCTTGTTGCGGCTTTGATTTGCATTTTCCTGATAACTAGTACAGAGACTTTTAAACTCTGCCCATTTTCTTTATTAATTTACTAGCACACAGAAGAAAGAGTAGCTGCAGCACCCAGACTCGATTACTGAGCACAAGTCACGGCCCCTATGACACCTGGCCCCTGAACACCTCAGCAGGCGTCGTTCTGAGACTTTGAACCTTGGCCTGTGGGTTCGTTCCAAACAGGGATGCAGTCTCAGGTCCCGTGGATCAGGTTGGAGCATCACTGCCGGGTAGCACTGCTCTTCTTGACCCGGTTGGAGTTTCTGCACAAGCAGCCTCCAATTTTCTAATAAACTGTAAACTCTCACTGGTGCCTTGCCTTGGGTGGTCCCCAAAGGATCTGAGCGGTGCAACTCATGCTATCACGTCCCCCCTCCCCACCCCCCAAGAAACTTCCGAAGGACTCCGTCTGGCGTTCAGCATCTTTACGTTTGTTCTTCTTGTAAATATGTTCCGCAGTGAAATTAAGGTTAGGCTTTCTGATCACGTGATCCTTCCCGACTCCCGCGGCCATCCGTCCTTTCTGGATTAGTGACATGTAGGCGTTTCCATGTTCTCCTGGAGCTGAATCATGGCGGCTGGATTCTTGCTGTGTGTGGCTGGCCCAGCTCCCAGGGCCCGGCATACTCCGTGGCCAAGTCTGTGAAAGCCACGCAGGAACCTGCTAGAGATAACGAAAACCAGCAGTGGCAGTTCCGCCTTTCGGTGGAAGGGTCCTCGCAGGGCTCATCCTCAGGGTTAGGGGCAAACAAGGCGCATTTCATTCTCAATAGCTGAGCCAGGGGTGCTGGATGTTCTTCTGTCTTTCTCATGGGCGGTGTCCTTTGGGTTTGAGTCACGATTAGGGATATGCTCAGATGACCAGGTCTGTAGGTCTACAGTTGTGGCTGCACATTAGAATCACCTGGGAGCCTCTAACGATCCCCATGCCTGGGCTCTAGCCCCCACCAAAGAAATCAGAATCTCTGGGCATCGGTGCTTTTTACACAAACTCCCCAGGTGACACCAGCGAGCAGACATGCTTGAGAATCAGCTTCTAAACTTGAATGAACATGCAAGTCACCAGGGCATCCTACTAAAGATGCAAATTCTGAAGAGCAGGTCTGTGAGGGGCCTGAGATCCTGCATTTCTGACCTGCTCTCCAGTGACGCAATTCTGCTGGTCCACACTTTGAATAGCGAGTCTGAAACAGGGCTTGGCAAAGCGTGGCTCAGAGGCCAGATGCTTTATTATTATTATTATTATTTTTGGCGGTACGCGGGCCTCTCACTGTTGTGGCCTCTCCCGTTGCGGAGCACAGGCTCCGGACGCGCAGGCTCAGCGGCCATGGCTCACGGGCCCAGCCGCTCCGCGGCATGTGGGATCTTCCCAGACCGGGGCACGAACCCGTGTCCCCTGCATCGGCAGGCGGACTCTCAACCACCACGCCACCAGGGAAGCCCCAGATGCTTTTTTAAAAAAAATTTTTTGGCTGCAT